CAATGCATGCCCAGTACCTGCCAACAGTGCATAGCAGAGATGTGACTGACTGCCCAAGCAGCTAACGAGCCGATCAGTGGGGAAGCGGGTGAAAGTAAAAGTACACTTGTGTATCGGAGGCCAAGTGTTTGAGTATTGTTGCTGTGGAAAATAAATTCCCTTTGAACTGAGAAATGGGATATAGTTGAAGATCTTGGGACTATAGTGGTTCATAGTTATTAATACAGATGCTCCTCTACTTAAGAACATTTGACTTACAAACTTTCAGAGATACAAGCATCATTATTGAGGGGGGGGGGGGGTTATCTTCCAGAGCAGGTGTTTAATGTGGACGAGACAAACTATTTTGAAGAAAATTCCAAATAGAACATGTAATACCTAAGAGGAGAAGAGTGAGCCAGGTTTTAAGGCTGTATTATAGGGTATAGCTGTACTAAAAATCCATTAACTTTTAATTTTTTACAATATGTTTGGTATCTACAAGAGTAAAGTTGGACTTCCAAACAATTGGACTTACGAACAAGACTCAAGAAAGTAGAGGAGCACCTGTACTGTTGTCCAGGGAAGTGAGTCAAATTTCCAACAATCAAGATATAAAATAAGAGTGTAGGGGTATATTGTGTGTGTGGGAAATATCGAGTAAAAAAAATCACCATAACACATGGGCACTTGTTAGCTGTGAGAAGGTTGTGCACATGCCATTATTACATAAGAAACCGTAAAAGTTACAGATATATATTTCGATGTTCTAATGCAATTTAGAAATAAAGAAAATAACTATAAAATAAGAAAATTAAGAGTGAGGACTCAATTGTTTGGGAGGTGGGAGGGAGGGTGGGTGGGTGGGTGGTTGGACAACTCCACCCTCGATCCTGTTAACATGACAATATGCAGTTTAACCATAATTCTCATATAATTTACATTCATTTGGTGCCAGGTTAATAAAATATCATAAAATAGTCACTTCCTGAAAAATATCCCACACCCAATCCAAGATGATTTATTGCATTGAATTAAATTCCCAGTGCTTATTTACAAAGCCAACCAGCTGACTGTCATCAGAAGCCTCCCTCCAAGCAGTGTTGCCAATGTTTTACTTCTCTCATGCATGTTTGCTCTCACTGCTCAAGATGGGTGGTGCTTACCACAACAACTGTTAACACTTACTAAATAATATTGTAATGTATCTATCAGCACTTAATAAAATAATATTGTTGTGTATTATGTACCTGCCTATTCTCTTATTTATTAATTAATCAGTTGTCTAAGTGTACAAGTAGTCAAATCAAGCCATAATGTATCATTCAAAGGTAAAAAATAATGTTGTTAGGAATGTATCTCCATATCAATTATTATACAGTACAGTAAGTTATAATGACGCCATTATAAGCTAATTTGCAGAGATTTCAAGGAGTATTACCTTACAGTACCTCAAAAAAGTATCTGCCAGGATAGGTCGATGACTTCCAAAATGCTACATGCATATCGTGATGTCCCGGGGGATTGGAAGGGGGGGGGGGTGGTATACATGGCTCTGTGGCATACTGATCTACAGTACAGGTGCTCCTTCACTTACGAACAAGTTACGTTCCTGAGGCTTGTTCGTAAGTCCAATGTTTCTAAGTCCAACTTTACTCTTGTAGATACCAAACATACCAGGTATTGTAAAAAATTCAAAGATTATGGATATTTAGTACAGCTATACCCTTTAATACAGCCTTAAAACCTAGCTCACTCTTCTCCTCTTAGGCTCTTAGGTAATGTTTGTTCTATCTGGAATTTTCTTCAAAATAATCCAGTCTCATCCACATTAAACACCTGTTCTGGCAGGTAACCCCTCCCTCAATGATGATGTTTGTATCTCTGAAAGTTTGTAAATTGAACGTTCTTAAGTAGAGGAACACCTGTAAAGTACTACATTTGGTAACCGAAAATCACATTAATTACGTCGAAGTAAATACACATTGCATTACTATGTTAAACTATACAGAGCAGGAATGTGCATATCCCAATATCTATCATCCATGGTCTCATAACGTTTCACACAAATGTGGACATATTTTTTTTGAGATACTGTACATGTTTGAATGCATATACCCCTAATTACATAAATTCTTATGGGAAAAATTCTTCATTATAAAATATTTCATTATCAGTTGCTTTTTTTCTGGGACACATCCTCAACATACAATGAAGATCCTCCTGTATCCATTTTGGATGGTAGAGTAGCTGATTAAAAATAGATGCAAGCAAAGTTTTATTTAAACACTACTCTTTATTTACAGCACATTTTTTTTTTATATTTGTATGTTTTTTATGGGGATTTAAAGCGATTCAATTGAAGAGTATTGATTTAAAGCGACACCCACAATTAAGGACAATGTTTTAATTTAAAGCGAATCTTTCCTATTTTGTGCGCGTCAATCTGGCGCATCATACTTTAAAATTTGCGCCTAATGTTTCTCTGGGCATGCTACACTGTCCTAAGGGCAAAGCTGTACTGTACATGTACTCAAAATAATGTACTAAATGATTATTAAATTTTTTTGTCTAGTTCAAACTATAGCATGTTTATATTCAAATTAACCACTATCTTATAAGAATTCCAGCAATGCAAATTATATTCTCCCCGGCCACTTCTGTGACATTTATAAGCAAAAAACATTAACTCAAGCTAAAGGACATAAATAAACAAATAAATACTTCACTAGACCTCTGGCACCAACTGTCAAATATGTCACTGTCACTTTCTTCCCCTCCCTCCCTCCCCCCCATCTTCCCAGCCAGGGTTTGGTGTTTTAGACTTAAAGTTTTTATCTTATACAGGGAACCCTCGGTTAACGAAATTTCGGTCAACGAATTACCTTCCATAAGATTCTTCACTTCGGTTAACGAATTCCTTACGAATTTTTACCAACATGTTTTCGCCTGCTCACCAGCTGTAGTATTAATCCGCCAATACAGTAATCGGTTTTAGGGCTTAAATTCATTACCATTTGAGTAAATATCAAGAAGGTTGTACTATTCAATAATTTTCCAAGTCTTATATTAAAGCTTTTAGTCATTTTAACAATTATTTAACATAATTGAAGTACAGGGAATTAGTTTTTAGCACGCCAAACAGCCACTTGACTCACCCAAAATGGCGTCAGTGTGTGTCCCTGCTCAGTGGAGGAAGCTTCTTGCTTGAGACTCTCTTGAACATATACTATTTTTACGTTTTTACAGTACAATTATTGGTCATTCTGAAGTTTATGTGCAGTGCAGTGTTGATTTAAAGAAAATAATCTTGAATTACACCAAGTGAACTAAAATTTTATGGGTGAAATGGCAGCATGGGGTGACTTCTCTTCCACCCCAATGCCTTCTCTTCTCCCTTCTCCACCCCCATTCTAATTCCCATCATCATCATCATCAACCAGGAGCCTTCTACATGCACATCTCAAAGTAAGTGTACATTACTGCATTTATTTTTAGTTTGTATGTAATTTTCGGTGAGCTGGAACCAATTACCCAAAATCCCATTGAAACAATGGTTTTGGTTAACGAAATTTTCGGTTAACGAACGACCTTCCGGAACGAATTGCGATCGTTAACCGAGGGACCACTGTATAATGTCACAGACTAAAGTTAGGAGAATATAATTTGTATTGCTGGAATCCCTGCAAGACAGCGAAAAATTTGAATATAAACGTCATATATTTTGCACAAGAGATAAAATTTTTTGCTCTTTTAATAAAATTCTTAAATTAGAACTAAAATTTGTATGTCTAATGCGAGCTATAGCATGTTTATATTAAAATTAATCACTATCTTCTAAGAATTCCAGCAATGTTAATTATATTATCCCCTGTCAGTTCAGTGACATTTTATAATAGAAAAATTTGAAGTCACTCTTAAGGACAGATAAATAAATAAGCACTAGACCTTGGCATCAACTGTCAAACATATCACCTCATCTTCCCCCCCCCCCTCCCATCTTCCCAGCCAGAAAACAGACCATTTCGCATCCCTTAATTTTAGCTGTGTTGATTTATGAGTGTTTGTTTTAACATAATACTACATAAAACAATGTTTTGTTTATTCTAGGAGATGGGCTGAGGTGCATCGGGATAGACTCTCAGTCTTTTTAGTATTTTGTGTTTCTCTCAAGTACCAAACTAAATTATTCAACTGTTGGTTCTCATAAAATAACTATTGTAACTCATGTGCCTAGAAGCTCGCTAGCACGCTACCTAACAGCTAAATGAGATATGTTTTACTGTATTCTAATAAAAGTCTGGGTGGTGGCAGGCTACCGTTGAAAGTATAATAAGTCTTATAGTAAGAATGGCATGGTTTTTCCCGACTAATCAATGGTATAGAATACTGTATAACTAAAGCAGGATAATAAATTGAGAGAAAGTACTGTAAGGATAAAAATATCAGAAAATACAATAATATATATGACAGAAGGAATAAAGCATAGAAAAGAATATTGATTTATTAAACAAAATATAAGTTAGATACTTATACAGAGTAGACAGAAAGACTAAGAAAATATGATTCATAGAAAATATAGATATGAGATATGAGGCAAGTATATAAGTATTGAAGAATAAATAGAATAAATATGAACTGAAAAATGAGCCCCCTTACAACAACTCTTTTACCAGGGTTAATAAATAATTAATTATTTGAAAAATATATCGTGAATTTGCCTACGACATTAAAACTCTGTTTGTCTGTTTGGGGCATGGGAAGAGTAAAGATTTTTGTTTTTTCAATTGCATTGGAGTAAAAGCATTAGAAAACCATACTTAAGTAAAAATACAAATTTTTTTTAGTACTTTTTAAAAAGTAGATACCCAAAAATGTTACTTGAGTACAGTACTAAAGTAAATTTATTTTGTTACTTTACAACCCTGTAAATACCCCATATTTATTCAGTCAGGGTAAAATAAAGTGGTGACAGTAAAAATAATATTGCATGTTTAGCTGAAGCCAAGCAACTTTCTTACCTTCTTATCAACATTATAGCCATGGAGCCGTCGATCATCCATGATAGGCTCATCATGGCAGAGTATGTCAAAACAAAATCCACCAGGTGGCCCATAGCCATTGGGTAACACACCTGTGAAGAGCCAGGCTGATTCACCTGTAAAAACCAATGATGTAGTAATATCTCCGTTAGTCAGAATCCCTTAAGCCCGGAACTCTCCGATAGATGGAATTGAAATTTTCTCGGAAAATCGTTCCCAGATAATTCCAGCTTTGGGAAATATTTTCTGGGGGGCAAATTTTTCCGGAAAATCCCGAAAAATTTTTCCCGATACCCGGAAAATTACAGGGATGGGGGATTTTTTTCCGGGTTTGAGATAGGTAAATCAGGCGCATTTTCTGTAAATTCCGAGAAAATTTTTCCAGTACCCGGAAAATTCTGGGGATGGGGGATATTTTTCCGGGTTCGAGAGATGAGGTAATGGGTAATTTCTGGAACTTCCGAGAACATTTCTCCGTTACCGGAAAATTACGGGGATGGGGGATTTTTTTCCGGCTTTGGGAGAGTCATCTTGTTACCCGGAAATCTCTCGTTCCCGGAAGCGCTCTGCACCAATTGTTCCGGCTAATGGAGATATCACTGTAGAAGCTAAATACTTTGAAAAAGTAGGCAGAAAATTTCTTTGTAATTCATAAAGAAAGGTCTGTGCTTCAAAAGACTACTCCTATGCTATACAGTACATTACTGTAATTTATCCACTTATGTAATTTCATTTCATATTTTATATTTTGAAATAATCACATGTACAGTAATATTAGTCTTATAACAGAAAAAACTCCACAGACAGAACCAAAAACACAGTTGCATAATATATTACAGTACTTATTTTATATACTGTACATGCCATTAATATTCCCAAAGTTTATAAAAAATTAAATTAATAGTAGCCTCCTAACCCACTGGTACTATACTGTACTGTACTGTACTTTACTGTAATTCTCAAGTGAAGTTGGTAAAGGACTTACTTATTCACCTGTTCTATCAATTATACACCTGTGATGACTTGGGTTCTCTATGAATTCTCCGAGCAAACAAAAATTACAAAAAAGCCTCTAAAATATAGGGGGTCCCTGGGTTACGAACGGGTTCCGTTCCTGAGGACATTCCTCACCACAACCGCATCCAGCCCATACGTGCACGAACTGATCGCTATAAGAACAGCCCAGTCCCAACCATTGTAAAAATTATCAATAACTTGTAATAAACCAGTGTATTCACTCCCAGTAAATACTACTTCTTGCACTGTCACTATGTTGAAATGCACTGTAGTTTGAGCTTTTCCCCATCTAGTTATTATATATCTTATTTGTATCACTTATGTTACTTGTATATTATTTGTAATTCGAAACCCATTCCCCAAATATGTAACTGTATATTTTCAGCCTTCTGGCTGCCAAGCTCTTTCAATAAACCGTTAATTATTATTGTTATTAAGTCGGAAATGTACAAGTCAGAACACATACTACATGCATGCAGTACTTACAGATCAATGTTTAAAATCCCACTACCCATATCATAACCTAAGTCTTTATATACATCCAAAATCACTTAATTTAAGAGAAAAGAAGAAATAGAATGACAAATTACAGTTAATGAAAGTAAAAAATAAGTCATCAGGTAAATAAAAAACTAAATTTCAAGCTTTAACCCCGTTCATATCGGCGGGCGTTCGTAAGTCGGGGTTAGTACAGTACTATCTATGCAGTCCCATACACCACTTAAAACCGTCTTAAACATATTTCATGGATGCAACTGATATGAACAGTACCATACTATCATGCTTGGGTAAATCTAACATGAGAGAGTTTTCAATTCAGTAAGGCAGGTTTGATCTATGTTTTGAGGAAACAAAGAACTCAAGAAACTAAAATGGTATTATTATCACATAGAAATACTGTACTACTTTTACAATCTTGTTGTATAAAGATAGCAAAATAGTCAATTTAAAGATGAGTGCATAAAGGTAATACCATACTGTTTTTCTAAAGCTCTTCATAATACAGTAGGGTCGGGATATATAGCGACTTTGTATAATGATTTCTTTATGTAGCAGCTACCAAAATTATCGACATTTTCCTATATATAACGATAATTTTTTTTATTTCACAAGGGAAATCGTGCAGGAAATATTTCAAATTTATCACTACTACCAAAATTATCAAATTTCCCAATATAGCTGCTCCCTGACTGACGACGGGGTTAGGGACCCAAATCCAGGTCGTAAGTCGAAAATGCTTAAATATACATTGAAAATCTAAAATGGGTGTCTCTTTTTCTCCTCAGCACCACAAAACTCTCACTTTTAAGCTTGCCAGCCATTTTAAAGTGAATTACAAAAAAAAAATTTCAGTACACAGCGCAATCACTGACGTTGGGACTCGAAAATACGTAATTTGACAAAATTTTGGTACGACTGAGGCGGTCGTATGTCCAGGTGGTCGTAAGTTGAGTAGGTCGTAAGTCGGGGAGGAGCTGTATACATGGAGACTACATTAAGTGGATGAAGCAGAGGAGGAGACAGGGCTGGGTGGATCATCAATGTCGCTTTCTTCGGACAGGTTAATATACTACAGGGGAAACTTGCTGGTTGAAGGTATTGGATCACCTTTAAGGAGTGAAGAGGCAGCACTGGTGGGGTGTGAGGAGACAGCAATGGGGGACTTCTTAAAATATATGTCCAATTTAGACTGCACAGTTTGCTTTTTCTTTTCATTTAAATCTCCCTGTAGCAAGCAAGTGCATCTTGGACCATTCTGACAACTTTGGCAAAACGCTCAACATTTTGATCCATTCCGTCAAACATTTGCATCCCCTTATTAATTGTAGCAAATGCCTCTGCCATTTGCTTCACTGTAAAATTTTTGGAGGGTGCAGGTTCTTCTTCTACATTTAGACTCTCTTCTTCCTATGCATTTTTCTGTGCTTCCAGTTCAATAAGATCCTCGTTACTTAGCTCTTCTCCTACACTCTCAACCAACTGCTCAACTTCTTCATTATCAATTTCTAACTCAAGCTGTTTACCAAACCCCACAATCTTGTTACTAATCTCAGAAATTACTTCAGCTTCATTAAATCCCTGAAACTGTTCACATATCTTTTCAGGACTTTCTTCCATATTCCATTCATGCACTGACCTGTAACCTCATCCCATGCTGCAGCTATGTTCTTTATACATTTCAAAATGTTGTAGTCCTTCCAAAACTCTCTGAGCATTTTCTCACCTTCATTAGCAGCAACAGCCTGAGCGAAGGTCGTACGTAAATAATTCGCTTTAAAAGCTGCAATAGCACCTTGATCCATGGGTTGGATGACAGAGGTAGTGTTAGGTGGAATGTAGACTACCTTAACATCAGGGTGCATGTCGTCCAGGTGTGGTGGGTGTCCCGGAGCATTATCCAAAATTAACAAAATCTTGAATGCAATCCCTTGTTGCAGACAATACTCCTTGGCTCATGAAATGAAACAAGTCATGAACCAATCCTCAAACAGTACTAGGTCATCCATGCTTTCTTGTTACTGCGATAAAACACTGGCAGTGTGTGCTTGCTGACATGTTTAAAAGCCTTTGGATTCTCTGAATGATATATCATGAAAGGCTTTACCTTGAAACCAGCTACATTCCCTCCAACAGCAGTGCGATTCGGTCCTTGAATCCTGGCATTGTTAAGTCAGTTTCATCCACATTAAATGTTTGCTCAGGCAAATAATTTCCCTCAACGATAAGACGATCTAGCTCCTCCTTAAAAGCTTCGGCAGCATCCATATCAGCACTTGCTGCCTCTCCACTCACCTTTACACTATGCAAACTGTTGCGGTTCTTAAACCTTTGGAACCACCCATGACTTGCTGTGAAGGTTTGGTCACACTCACTCCTGCCTGCTCCTTCAGGTTTTCGAAAAGGCTTCTTGCCTTAGCCTGTAGGGTTAGAAGGCTTAAGGGTACACGCTTTTGTATCTGGTCTTCCATCCATATCACAAGTAATTTTTCCATCTCATGAATAGGACCTTGTCTGTTCTTCATTATTATAGTTCTTTTAATTGGTGCTGATCCTTTCACTACCTCACGAATAAGGTCCTTGTCCTTCATAATAGCAGATATGGTCGCGTGCGAGAAGCCTAGGTCTCGTGAAATGGTTGCTACTGTTTTTCCATTTTCACACTGCATTATTATCTTCATTTACATCTCAAAAGTAATTGACTGTCTCCTTTTCTTCTGAGCACCACCAGCACTCTCACTTCTACGCTTACCAGTCATTATAAAGTGAATTAGATACAAAAATAATGTCGGTACACAGCGCGATCATTATCGACAACAACGAAAGCCAAACACCAACTAAGCACTCTACGGCGTGGGTGATGTAGCCACGAGGTGGCACGACCCAGCCCACGGGACGCTCTCATACAGGACGGAAATGTTTTCGTCAAGAAAATACGCACATCATTTTAAAAATTTTTGGTACCGACTGCAGCGGTCGTATCGATTGAGGCAGGTCGTATGTGTGGGTGGTAGTAGGTCAAATATGTAGTATGTCAAGGAGTAGCTGTACACAGTAGACTACGCTAGGGTTACATGTTCCTGAGACCTTGTAAAGTCAGAAACACTCCTAAATGGCCTTTAAATCACTATACCTGTATATATATCCTGTACGTACATACACACTAGAACTCATAAATCACTGCTGTAATGTGATAAGTACAGGTGATTAATTTTTATCTCTTGTGCAAAATATATGACGTTTTTACAGATGCTCCTCTACTTAAGAACGTTCAACTTACAAACTTTCAGAGATACAAACATCATCACTGAGGGGGGTTACCTGCCAGAACAGGTGTTTAATGTTGATGAGACTGGATTATTTTGAAGAAAATTCCAGATAGAACAAACATTACCTAAGAGGAGAAGAGTGAGCCAGATTTTAAGGCTGTATTAAAGGGCATAGCTGTACTAAATATCCATAATCTTTTTATTTTTTACAATATGTTTGGTATCTACAAGAGTAAAGTTGGACTTACAAACAAGCCTCAGGAATGTAACTCGTTCGTAAGTAGAGGAGCACCTGTACAGGTATTCAAATTATTCGCTATCTCACAAGGATTCCAGAAATGCAAATTATATTCTCCTAACTTTAGTCTGTGATATTATATAACATAAAAACTTTAAGCCTAAAACCACCCAACCCTGGCTGGGAAGATGGGGGGGGGGGAGATGATATGCTTGACAGTTGATGCCAAGGTCTAGTGCTTATTTATTTATCTGTTTTTAAGAGTGACTAAGTTTTCTCTTAGAAAATGTCACTGAACTGACTTGGGAGAATATAATTAACATTGCTGGAATTCTTATAAGATAGTGATTAGTTTGAATATAAACATGCTACAGTTCGCAAGAGACACACAAATTTTAGTACCCCCTGTACTTAATTAGTACATATGACTAAAAATTTGATCTTTTGTGTAAAATATATGATGTCTATGTTCAAATTATTCGCTGTCTAGCAAGGCTTCCAGCAATCTAAATTAAATTCTGCTAACTTTAAACTGTGCCATTTTATGTCAAGTTTAGTCACTTTTATTGGCCTCCAGAACCTAACCCTATTTTCCCCATTGATTACATGTAATTATGTACTGTATCGTGATTTAGTACATAACGAACAACCGTGGACCCTATCTCGCGATATATCCTGACCCTACTGTATTACCAAATTATAAGTAAAAGTAAAGGAAGGCAAAAGAGGCAGGAACAGGTTTATGAAATTACTGTAGTAATGTGTCTCTTATTCAAATCTCTAAAGAAGAAGTAGTCAGTGATTAATATCTAGAATGAGTGAAGAAGAGCAATACTGTATACCCATTAGTGAAAATTTATCTGGTTTATAAATATTGAAGAAAATTGGGATAGTGTAAAATGTATTTATTTCTCCTGTTATGTCATGTCTGTAGTACAGTACATGATACCTGGCCACTCAGGATCACACTGTGGGTTAACCCTAAGTATTTCAAGCTCAGATGTTTAAATGGGCATTTTAATGCTTGTCTCAGCTATGTTATATTTAAAAACAGTCAGGATCACACACATGAATTTACATATTATTTGTTTTTTCTTATCTCATACAGAAGACTTATTTTACTTTGAACAATACGAATACTGAACACCTCGCAAAAAGATTATACCTTACCTAAATTCTGGCTTGCTTGCCACACCATCTCCAAAGTCTTGTTGGCCCAGCGTGTGTTCTTGTCATCATGGTCAAGACGACCAAAGAATAAGCCTTCAAATCCCATCTGGGCAAAGAGACTAGCCTGCAGGGAGGGGTAAAGTCAGTTTATTCATACTGAATTTGAGAAGATAACAAAGTACAGTACATATATGCCCTAAAATCACTAGTTCTACAATAAAGGTCACCACTGCAACATAAATTCAGTGCCCACTTGAGTTAGATGTAAGAAAGGAGTTGTACAATGTAACCCTTGAGAACATCGATGGCTTTCCTTAGTGCACTGCAGGTATACTGTTTCCATGCTAACCTGATTGGTTCATAGAAAATGTTCACATAGCTGTCCATTTATTTCAGTCTTAATATATTCACAATTGGTAAGCAGACCTGTTATTCTCTGAAATAATGTTAAATAACTGGACTATCAAAATGCAAATGATTTCACGGCATTAGCACTTCAGAGAGGATGTTAGAAAATTTTAAATATTTATCATAAAAGGTCGCAGTCACAGATGAAATTCACTTTTGAATGAAGTCTTTTCATATTTCTTTGTTTTGTACCAAACATAAAGCAAACAGAAGCAAATTATACCAAAAATATAGCAGAAGAGGTAATGAACTACAATGCAAGAGAGGCTGCACAAAGTGTTAGAGCTGCAGGCTTCCCCGAGACCACCAACGACGACATCCTGGAGGTAATCAGGACACCTGAGGTGACTGCAGACGAGATGTTGGAAGATGATGACATCAGTGATCAGCGAGGTGTTACAGAAGAACAAGAGCAGAAACTACACATGCTGATATGAAGGATGTCATCGAGTTAGCTGAGAGATTGAAGCTCCTCCTTGCCAAAGAAACAGTCAATCATTGCTACGAAGTGTCTAATAACCTTCTGTTGCAATCCCTGGAGCCCTATGTTCAGCTGTATCACGACCACATCAATGCTAGCCGTCAACAAAACATCACCGAGTTCTTCACCCGCCACTCACCACAGCCAGCCCAAGTCAGTGATAGTGAGGATATGGACTTCGAGGGGTTTGAAGAGGAGGCCCTGCTAGCCTCTGTGGTGGATAGAGATACAGGTGAGGGCCAATAATCTGCCCTCTGCCTCGGAACCAACCCCCCATCCCCGTGTGCCCAGCCATCTCTTCTACTAACGTTAAGTGTTAAAAACCATAATATTATTGATATTTCTCTTATATATTAATTGTGTGTAAATACCATCATAAAATTAAGATGTTATTTTTACTGCAATGTATGTATTGTGTCAGCGATAGCCAAAAAAAGGGTAGTCTGGCGGTCGGCCCCGTCCCTATTTCAATTAATCCCATTATGTTCTGTTATTTTATTTATGCGCTTCGCTTTATACGCGGACCTCCATGGGTTTAATTAACCGCGTAAAATCAGACTATACTGTATACTTAATGCTACAGTTGCACAGAAAAACCCATCCATGTGTTATCACCAGCATAATCCGGGAGTCCTTACCTGTTCACGGGAATGTCCAAATGGATCAATCTGCCAAGCCACAGTGGGTCGTGCCTCTGGTCCAAAGGTGTTATTGAGCTTCCTGAAAGAAATAGACCTAGGTAATGTAACAGCAGCACAATAATATTTTTCCACATAAAACTTTCTTTAGAGGCGGTGAGTTTCACCAAATGTGAAAAGGACATGGGTGTGCAAATTAACATGAAACTGAATTCTTCAGAGGGTAAATCAAGCAAATAAGCTAGTAGGTTCTATAAGGCAGGTACTCGTATACCTAGATGATCCATTCCTCATAACACTCTTCAAAAGTAAGGTGTTTCCCCATTTGGATTGTTGCCACCTCACCTGGCCCCAAGATATGCTAAAGTCTGTCATTTTTTTTTTCAATGCCTAAAGGAGGGTCACCAGACTGGTGCCTGCACCCAGGTACCTAAGGTACCAAGAGAGATTAGTGGCTGAAGCTGCATAGCTTATACTATAGACGGGCAAGGGGTGAATTAATAAAAGTCTATAAGTATAAGCACCTCAGAGGACATAACTCAATCGAGTGTTCAAGCCTGGAAAAAGTGGATGCCTGGCCCACTAGAGGTCATCACCTGAAGTTAAAGAAACCATAAGTTCAGAAAATTGTCCGGACAAACTATTTTTGGTGAGAGAACTCTTGCAATAATCTGCAAGACTTGACCAACACTGGCCGAGGTTCAGATATATTATAGAGCCAATGCATGCCCAGTACATGCCAACAGTGTATAACAGAGATGTGATCAAGTGACCAAGTGGCTTATAGGCATATCAGTGGCAAAGAGAAGAGAGTAAAATACATTACTTACCATTGTAGAAGAGTTAAATTTTTATGCTCATTTTATATATCATGTACTTTACTTGTTTACCTCCATTCACCCTTTTTACAAAACAAAATTCAGGGCTGGGATAGCAGCACTAATGATCTGTTAGTGATACCATTAGCACCACAAATTTTCAAAATTATTAGCAAAACATGCAGCAGCTGTTAGTTTTTAGAATAAATCATTTGCAAATTTTTCAAAACCATTTGTATTAATAATTTAGACCTGAATAGAGTCTACATTAGATACAATTGAGACAGCACTAACTGCAAGTTGCAATTTGGTGGTCACTTTCTGTATATTCACAGTTCTGTCTGTAGCAAAACAAGCTGTTGCCTGTTGCAGACGGTGTATCGTGTATGGCATTAAGCATAACAACAACTTGGGCCTGGACAATAACAGTCACAGAGCTGGTGTGTTTTGCATTTGTCTTTGGTCACTGATGATGTACTATACAGTATCTAACAAGTGTTCATATCCCTGAGGCTTGTGTTTCAAAGAAAGACACCAATGACAGGGGAGCATGTGCCAATGTTTTTTTTTTACATCTCTAGGTTTGCACTGATGTGATGAAAGCATTTAGTGAATGATCCTGAAGATCTGTGAGTCGTATCATCAGGGTTCAAAAGGACCAATTTCTGCAACCAATGGAGAAGGGGGTATTTTTGTGGATGGGAGATTGCTACAAGAAGAAGCTTCCTGTGATGACAAAATGGCTGCAGAGCAAGGCAAGACATATCAAATATAGCTTGATTGAATGTTCTGATGTTCCCGACAAGGTTAAGCATGTTTTTCAAGCAAGCAGGGTTTGGCTGCAGAAATTTTTTATCAAAATACGCTTTAACAAATAAGGTGGTGTCTGGTGAAACTGCATTAGCCGATGCCAAGGTTGCTTGTCGGTACTCACAGGATTTTCGTCAGGTGATGTAGGAAGGTGGATATTTACCTTGCCAAGTGTTTAACAATGACGAAACAGCATTGTTTTGGAAGAGTATGCCTTACAGAACTCACCTTGCCAAAGAAGAGGCAAGGATACCAGGCTTTAAAGAAGCTAAAGATTGTGTGTCTCTTCTTTTCTGTGCCAATGCTGCAGGTGATTACTTATGTAAACTGCCAATACACTGATCGGCCTGACCTCGTCCCTTCAAGACTCTAAGCATGTTAACGCTACCTGTGCACTGGCGTACTAATAAAAATGGATGGATGACCAAAACTATTTTTGAGTAATGGTTTATGACTCACTTTCATACAGAAATGAGGAACTATTGTGCCAAGAAAAAGATTGCTTTCAAAGCTATTCTTCTGTTAGATAACTGCACTGGCCACCCTACAAACCTCAATGATCTTCAAAGTTAAATAAAAGTTATTTACCTACTCACAAAAAACTACATCATTGCTACAGCCTATGGATCAAGAAGTTAGGTCTACAATCAAGCTGCTTAATCTGGACCTTGCCGTTGAGGCAATCCACAAGGCAATGGATGAGGACGAGGAGCTCACGGTTCAACAGTAATGGAAGAATAAGTTGAACATTCTTCATGGTGTCTGGTTTATTGGCAAGGCCTGGGCTGCAGTCGGTGAAGCATGTCTCTTGAATGGTTGGGGCAAGCTGTTGCCTGACACAGCACCTGACTTTGTTGGGTTTGAGCAGGATCATTTGACTCAGATCCTGAGTAGGGCAAGAGCACTAGCTGGAGAGGGCTGTGAAGACCTACAATCTATTGACATCATTAACCTTGTGGAATCTGTTGAACAAGAATTACCGGACAGCGACGTTCTTCAGTTAATAGACGAGTCGCCAAATGATCCTGGATTAGAAGAGGAAGATGAGGAACATGTTGAGTCCTGCCCTACATTAAGCATTTCAAACCTTGCAAAAATACTGTCCCTCCACCAATACTTAATTGATCTCATAAATGAAGACGACCCCAGTTTTGAGAGAAGAGAAACTTTAACTTCAAATTTAACTAGACATGTAAATAAGCCAAGCACCACTCTGGACTACCCAGACCCAGTAAGCAGGAGCTTCGCAAACATGCCCATAAGTGTGATAGTCACTAATATTTTTTATTGATTATTAAGTTATTGTTAGTTAGCAATGATTAATTATTGGTTAGAATTAATGAATACAACCTTATATTACCATATTTTATGGCATATGACACACTTTTTTGTCTGAATAATGGCAAAAAAAAATCAGCCTGTCTCCTGTATGTGTGAAGTTGCAGTTTCTCCCATGCTAATGAATTCCCCCATTGCTGTCTCCAGTAGGCTAAATTCTACCTAACCCAACTCCAGAATTTAAAATGAAGACAGAACATACAGTACAGTACATATAAATTGAGGTGCATTTAGAAAAAATTAGTGTTAGCAATAACAGCGCTACCCTTTCAAATGTTTAGAATTAGCAGCAGCCACATTATTTTTTAAAGTACTGTACCCTGTAGGTAGCATTAGCAGCATGTACTTTAGGAGTAAGCTGGCTAAACTACACTCCTCCTTTTTAATATGCAACCAGAATACAGTATACAAAATCATACACATAATCATCATAAAATATTTTGCATGAGATAAGTGACCATACTGAGATTACTGTAAAAGGTTATCAAATCTGAGGCTTTAAAATGGGAAGTTATAAATAAATGTTAAAACCGAACTTAGAAGAGATGACAGGTTGGCTGGGTTTTAACCCATAACACGCAGTCAACGTATATAATCGTTTATGGAGAGGTTTCCAGCCAACATATATACAGGTGTAAACACCACAATTTGGGTGAAATGTTCGAGTGTTTGCACAGCCTTCAACATCTGGGGTTAATTTGGCAGGAACTTACACTCTGCCCAGAGCAACGTACACGGACCCACAGCCCTCCCGGTAGGCCTCATACAGTACTTATTGTAAGTAGGTAAGTACAGTATTTAAGTAAGTAATAAATAGGCAAGGTAGAGTGAATATTTTTTTTAATTTAGTAATGTGTTAGAAACATGTGGTGTACCAGCAAATTCATAAAGTCAGTCAGTAAAAGAGTTTGTAAACAAGTAAATAATTGAGTACCGGTAAGTACTGTACAGTAAAGTAGAAAGTAAGTTGTCATTTGGTAGGAATGAAATCAGCCACCCCACCATGGTCACTACCTGTATCACTACATACAGCTTCTCCCCAAAATTGTTGGAGGTAATCTATGAATGGCACTAAGAAAAATCTCCTCCAAGCGGCTGTAAAAGGAAATAATTGATATTTTGTTAAATATTTAACAAGATTATTTCATAGTTTAGAAAGACTTAATAATAAATAGTTTCTTTGTGTTTAGAATGATTAAAGAGATACCTGCAGACACATAATAAGGGTTAAAATTCCATTCAGTGAGCCAAGTCACCAAGTGGCATTATTCCAAGACTTGTGGCAAGTTGACTAACTGAGCTGCCTATTACCATCATTTGTTTCTCCTGAATTTCAGTGTAAAGTTTTAACATTCCCAAACCCAACCAAGTATGAATTAATAAGTGAATACTGTACTGTACATTGTCTTAAAAATTCTCTATTTTGATAAAAAATATATAAAAAACAAACACAAGTACAGCACACACACACACACACACACACAGAGCCCAGTGAGCGTTATACATGACTCCACTATAAACCAAGGCTAAAGAAAGCATATAAATGAGTAATACATACACTAGGCCAAGGGTCATCTGGTCAATGATGCCATTATAGTGAGCTGCAGCTTCATCATTCATGCACCAACCTCCATTAATGAATTCCAATTGACCCCGTGCCACGAGATCCTGTAAAGAAAGTCAACCCCATGTTAGAATAATTGAAAACAAGATTTGTGAAAAAAAATGCCAACAGTTCAGAGATATAAATTACCTGTGCAGTATACATAAAAATTCCCAAATAGAAATTTCACAGGAGTTCCAAGCAACAAGTGGCTTTTCCCTTTACTCCTTACCTTTATATATAATCTCTCTCTCCTTCTTCCTCCTTTTCCACACCCATTCCTCCACTTCTTCCTTCTCCCCACCTCTCTCAATATTTCTTTCCCTCTTCCAGTTCCACCCTCTCATGAGCCTAACTATATTGTCTTCTCTTCCTCCTCTCTCTCCCCTCTTCATTCCTTCCTCCATCTGTTCCATTCTTATTCTGCCTTCACCCCTCACCTTATCTCTTCTTCTTCATCTGTGAACTTTTCCTCCCTCCACACCTAACTTATTCCTTTTCCCCTCCATCTTTATCCTCCTCCTCTTCCTCCCACCATCTCTATCTTCCTACTTTTCCTCCCTCCAACTCAATCCTCCTCCTCTTCCTCCTCCATCTCTATCCCCTTTCTCCCCCCCACTGTTCCATCCCTCACTCCTTATCCTCCTCCTCTTTCCCTATCCCCCAATCCCTATCCCCCCTCTTCCCCCCTCAATCCTATCCCCCCCTCTTCCCCCTCAATCCCTATCCTTCCCCTATCCTCCCCCTCTTCCCCCCTCAATCCCTATCCTCCCCCTCTTCCCTCCTCAATCCCTATCCTTCCCCTCTTCCTACCTCAATCCCTATCCTCCCTTCACAGCTTAACCTTCCCTCCTCTCTTTTTGTTTTTCAGCAACATGAAAACTTTGTATACTTTTCCCTTAATGATTTCCTTAACTATACCACCATTCCCATGTCTACTTTTGCATTGTTTACACTTTAAACTATCCTTATACCTGTACAGTACTCTTATACACACCTTCACTGTATTCTGCATATCTTGTGACTGGTTGTCCCACCATCTGAAGAAGAATGCAGACTCAACATATATGAACTTCTTGTTCGGGTCTTCCTTAAGTTCACGTACAACTGAGTCCAGCACGTACTGTACACCTGCCAGCTGAATGCTATTCTTTGCTGTAAGGAAAAGGAGCCTAACTGTACATAAGGTTGAAGTGAGTTCATTGCCAAGTGAGCACAAAATGCAATTCTACTTCACAAAAATAAAATTCATTCCATATAAAACTTATCAATGAAAGATAACATTTTTCCAAAACAGATCATCCAGAGGCAACCAAGTTTCCATGATCTAATACCTAGAACTACTTACTGCATAAATGTCCTATAACTCACAGAATAAAATGGAAGTACTGTACAGTACTGGACTGTTTGTTCTTGAATACTAATGGTTTTAATCCAAATAACCACTTGATATCTGGTTTTATTACCACATAATTTACATCTTTACAATAAAAATTTGTTAAATCAACAATATAACCTCTAAGAAATATTTATTAATAATACTGTTTATCCGATGAAAGTGGTAATAGCCGACCCTCAATTCATATTTTTTGTGCACTGTTTCACTTACAAAATGTCAAGTAATTGTGACTTGTTATATATTTTACACAGTCTGAGTTCACTTTTATATGTTTCAGCATGGTCGCCATGTGGTCATGAAAATTGTGCCACTAAATAAAGCTCAGTGAGGAAATGCAGGAGTGAATTCAATCAAACAACAGTGGCAAGAACAGTGAGGAAGAGGCAGAGGTGGCACCCAAGCCAAGGCTAACGATGAAGAGCCTGGATAATTGCTTTCAATAGCAAAGGAAATGAAAGACCTTCATTTTACTGAAGATCCATTTATGGAATGGAGTTTTTTTACATGCCTACTCCCACTACTGCCCCTGTCACCAAGTTCTTTCACAAGCATGATTCCACCACCACCTCTGCTCCACACGCTCCAGCCTCCGCAGGCTGATCAGGTGAATCCTCAGACTTCAATATCAACATTATCATTGTATCAAGTTCATTATCATCAGTATAGAAAGATTGATATGCAATTTAAATACCAATAACAATTTTCTATGTAAAAATTTTTCATGTATTGTACTGTACTATATATTAATGATTAAGGAAGGTCAGCTTTTGAGCCAGGAACCTAGTTTTTTTCAAGAATATAACCAATGTGTAAATTGAAGGTCGTCTGTACTTTACAACTGCAGTAACACTAAAGTACCAATTACAGTACAGTAAAAAGACTTTCTTCTTATAAAAATTGTTATTTAAATGCTTTTGTTTGTTAATGGATCTAGTACCAGAAATGGAAAAGAAATGAATTTCCTGTACAGTACTTGGGAAATGACAACATGGCGTTGGCCTGTGAATTTTACTGTGCACACTGACAAAAACTATGATTTTAGCAGCAGGAAACACTAGTTACTATCTAACTGTATATACACTATTTGTTTATGTTTAAGTTTGTCTTCTTTGCCATTGATCGGACTGCTAGCCATTTGGGTGATTGGTCATGTGTCTGTTACACAATGTTGTTAAGTACTGGCCATGCTCTGGCTCCAGGATGTACCTAAATCTGCATCAGTTTTGGTCAAATCTGGTCTTAAATGAGTCCACACTCAGTACAGTAACAACATTCTCTAGCACGTTATTACAAGAGTTTGCGACACCTACTCAAAAAATGTTAGCTTAGACAATTTTCTGTACCTGTGACTTATTTAACCTAAGACTGTGACCTCTAGTGGGGCAGACATATTCAAACTCAAGATATGAACACTCAACTGAGTAATGTCCTATGAGGTGCTTATAAACTTCTATTAAATCATCACTTACCCATCAACAGTATAAGTTAGGCAATTACAGGCATTCTAATCTCTCTTGATACCTAATATGCAGGATGATGGCACCAGTTCGGTGGCTTTCTTTTGGATGTTTTCAAAAAACAGGCAGTCTCTAGCATATCTCGGCGACCAGAGAGGAGGGCAGTACTGTACTCCAAGCAGGGAGTACCTGTACTTCATTTTTTAAAAGTATTATGAGGGATGGACCATATACATATGTAAATGATCTTCAAATAAGTCCTAGTAGTTTTACTTGATTTACCTTCTCACAATGATCTGAGAATTTCAGTTCCTTGTCAACTTACACACCCAGATACTCTTCACATTTGGTCTCAATTACTGTACAGGTGGTCCCTGATTTACGAACGTCCGACTTACGAACACCTGCCGATACAAGCAGGATTAAACTTTAAATTTACAGTATTTTAATTACTTGATGACTTATTTTTTACTTTCATTTATTGTATTTTGTCATTCCATTTCGTCTTTTCTCTTAAATTAAGTGATTTTAGATGTATATAATGACTTAGGCTATGATATAGAGGGATCTTAAACATTGCTCTGTAAGTACGGTATGCACAGAGCATGTGTTCTGACTTACGTATATTTCAGACTTAAGAATGTCCTCAGGAGAGGAACCCGTTCGCAACCCGGGGATCCCATGTATTGACGTTTTTTCATCATGTTGGGACATGATATAAGACTCCTTACTATTGGTACAACCGAGGTGACCCACAGGAATTTATCACTTAGTACTGTATTGTATTTTATGCATCCTACTGTATGTATCGGTCATTAACTGTAATGTATGCATCATACAGTACTGTACTGTATGTATCAAGTACTGTACTGTCACACAGTAGTGTACTGTATGTATCACACAGTACAGTAAGTCCTCATTTAACGTTGCCCCCGATAACACTGTTTCGTTATAATGTCGATACTCTTTAGATACCAATAATTCGGTTAACGTCCCGACGACTCAATATAACGTCGTTTTTAGCGTCGTCACGGATTACTTCTTATGGCGCACCACCCTCTCTCGTCTTGCCGCGCTACGCTCTCTTGTCTCGGCGCACTACCTCACACTTGCGGAACGTCACAGCATCCCTAAGCGTCGCCAGTCTTTGTTAGGCTTCCACAGCGTTTGTGCATGTTTAAGTGTTTTTTGCTCTTAATACTGAACTGTAACCATTCAAAATGGTGTCCAAGCACCCTTCAAGTGCTACTGATGCTAGTGTTGTGAAGAAGCATTGTAAGACCATTAGCCTTGCTACGAAAGTGGAGGTTTTAAACCGTTTTGAAAAAGGGGAACGTGCGGTGGACATAGCTGCTGCTCTAGGTCTAACCCCCACAACAGTGCGTACTATCTGGACCAACACGGACAAGATTAAGGTTAGTGCTGGAAGTGGTACTATTTTCTATAAAAATACCATTGAATTTCTGTATATGTAATGTATTTCATGGGGTAAAGGGAGGCTCAGGAACGTAACTCCTGTATTTTATCTATTTCTTATCAGGAAATTTATTTCGTTAAAGTTGCGGTTTTCAGGAACGGAACCACGACCTTAAGCGAGGGCTTACTGTACTGCACTGTATCACACAGTACTGTATGTATCACACAGTACTGTACTGTACTGTATCACACAGTACTGTACTGTATGTACCACACAGTAATGTACTGCACTGTATGTACCACACAGTAATGTAAGTATCAAACAGTAATGTACTGTATCACACAGTACTGTATGTACCACATAGTATACTATATGTATCAAACAGCCCTGTACTGTATCACACAGTATTGTACTGTATGTACCACATAGTACTGCACTGTACTGTATGCATCAAACAGTACTGTACTGTATCAGTATGGGCCAATAGGTCCGCTGCAGTTTCCTCCATTCTTATCACACAGTATTGTACTGTATGTACCACATAGTACTGCACTGTACTGTATGTATCAAACAGTACTATACTGTAACACACAGTATTGTACTGTATGTATCACACAGTACTCTACTGTATGTATCACACAGGACTGTACTTTATGTACCACACAGCACTGTACTGTATGTACCACAAAGTACTGCACTGTATGTACCACACAGTACTGTACTATACCATATGCATTACGTACTTGGTAGTTTGTTAAAATTTCAGACACCTGTAGTTCAGTGATGGTTTTGTCTATCTGCCAAAATGTCATCAGGCAGAGTCTGTGATCATTTCCTTATTAAATTCTGATTTGTCTTTTAAAAAGTCTCAATACAGAATTCATTAAATACTATTAAGAACAAAAGAACATAAGGAGTCTGCATTGGCCGGTTGGCCTGTGCATGGCAGCTCCAGTCGAGAGTTACTACCACTCTCTATCATCCATGAATCTATCCAGCCTCCTTTTGAAACTTTCCAGAGTTCCAGCACTTACTACAAAGTTGCTAAGCTTGTTCCACTCGTTCACCACCCTATTTGTGAACCAGTTTCTTCCTATCTCCCTCCTAAACCTAAACTTATCCAACTCCAGTTGTGTTCTGACCTCACTAGGGGAAAGGTCACGGCAGCTTAGCTCCGCTCCCGGGGATAATTACCAGATATGGCTAGCGCTACTTGTAAACAGGGTTATGCCCATCTATGGACCGAGTTACAGAATACCAAGGGAAAACCCTGAAATTAGAGCAAGAAAACTTGAAATTAAAGGAAGAGATATCAAAGATGAAGGAAGAAATGAGACAGGGAAAGCCGGTGAATGACGAATGGAAGGTTGTGAGGAGAGGGACTACCAAGCTGGTGGTCAAGAAATACACCAAGGATACAACAACGACAACAACAGCTAAGTGTACCAACTCGTTCAATCCCTTGATAGACGAAATGGACGTTAGTACAGGCAGGGATAGGGCTGACAAGGAGGGTATAAAAACTTTAATTGTTGGTGACTCACAGGTAAGGTACCTGGACAGAGCCTTTTGTGGTAAAAATAAAAATAGGATGAGGGCGTGTTTGCCAGGGGCTGGGGTGGGGGATATAGTTGACAGGATGGACAATATCTTGTCTGGTAATGGGAACAAACCCATTATCTGCCTCAGTGCAGGAGGCAATGATATTGGCCGGTGTAGGAGTGAGGAGCTTCTTGATAAGTTCAAGACAGCTATAGATCGTATTAGGACTAAGGGAGGAATCCCTATCATATGTGGTGTCCTGCCTAGAAGGAGAGTTAGCAATGAATGGTTGTCAAGGGCAGTTGGTGTCAACGGCTGTCTTGACGGATATTGCAAGTCAATATCAGTCCCATTCATTGACAACTGTGACAACTTCTACGGCAGAAGGGACCTTTATGCTAGGGATGGGGTGCACCTGTCTTGGGAGGGGGTGGCAACCCTGGCTGGGTCTCTAGAGGGGGCAGTTCAAAAGATATCGAAGTCTTTAAACTGCTAGGGGAACATGAGGGCACGAGGGTGGAGGAGACTGCAGTGGGAGCGGGTAAACAAGGTGAAAGATTACAGGGAAATAGTGTTAGGAATGATGACAAAACTAAATTAGACAGGGAGTTTAAAACTAAACGCGATAAGGGGAGGACTCAGAACACGACTAACTTAAATGTCTACTACGCGAACAGTAGAAGTATGAGAAACAAAATGGATGATATTAGGGCCTTGGTTTGTACCGAAAAAATCGATATAATAGCATTCACTGAAACATGGATCAACCTAGACTCACGTGAGTTACCAGTCGAATACCAAATTGCGGGTTACAAATTGTTCCATACCGATAGGCAGACCAGGAAAGGAGGCGGAGTAGCAATCTATGTCAGGGATAATCTGAAGTGTGAAATAAATAAGGAAATAAAAACTGAGCGGAATACAGAAACAATTTGGATAGAATTAATCGAAGGTAGGGAAAAATTAATCACAGGAGTAATATATAGACCTCCCAATCTTGATAGAGTCAATGAGAGACTTGTCTGGGATGAAATGCAAAGGGCTTCCATACACAACAAAGTCTGTATAGTAGGCGACTTTAACCTTGGCCAAATAGATTGGAATGACCTTACGGGTAACTCAGAATCAGAGGAATTTCTCGAAACGATCCAGGACTGTTTCCTAAGTCAACATATAACCGAACCCACCCGGGGTAGTAATATACTCGATTTAGTTCTGTCGAACAGAGAAAACCTCATTAGCAATGTCGAGGTAGGGAACGAACTTGCAAACAGCGATCACAAAGAAATTAGATTTCAGTTAGATTTTCAGGGCAGACATAAGGAAAATTCCACTAAAGTACCAAATTTCAGAAGGGCAAACTTTGACAATTTAAAGAAGCGGCTGAGAGAAGGGGTGTCGCGCTTGGGCGTGAACCTGACAGATGACACCAACCTGATAACGAGATCTGAGATAGCCGAGTTCCACGACAATTTAAATAATGAGTTACTTAATGCACAAAGGCAGAACATACCATACAAAAAACTCAGATCAGACAACAATGACCCTAAATGAATAAATAATTATTTAAAGAACATCATTGGCCAAAGGAAGGCTATTAGGTAGAAGGATAAATCATGGCGAAATTTACCTCCAGGATTATTATAAGGTATTGGCGAGTAGGGTTAAGACGGAGATAAGGAAAGCCATGAGGAATAATGAGGTAAGGATAGCAAGGGAGGCCAAGACAAACCCCAAAGTATTCTACTAAATGTATCAAACTAAAACACGAGAAATGATTGGACCAATACGGTCAAATACCGGCGAGCTCACTGACAACGACGGAGAAATGAGCAATAATTTTAATAAATATTTTTCAACAGTTTCCACTACCGAAAATGTAAACATGATACCCAAGGCACCAACTCTATTCAGAGATAGTGAAGAAAACAAATTAAGCGAGATAGTAGTGACTAGTAGCGATGTTACTAAGCAAATAGACAAACTAAAGCCTAATAAGTCACCTGGTCCAGATGAGATATTTGCCAGAGTATTAAAGGAATGTAAGGAAGAGCTTAGTATGCCCTTAGCAAAGTTGTTTAACATGTCCTTAAATACAGGTGTAATACCGGAATCCTGGAAGATAGCGAATGTAATACCGATTTTCAAGAAGGGGGATAGATCACTATCCTCTAACTACCGCCCAATCAGCCAAACATCAATACTGTAGTAGGCAAATTACTTGAATCAATCATTTCAAACTCTATTCGAAACAACCTGGAGAAGCACAAGTTGATCAATGATTCCCAACATGGCTTCACAAGCGGGCGTTCATGTCTAACTAATCTATTAACATTCTTTTCATCAGTTTTCGAATCGGTGGACGAAGGGCACAATTATGATGTGGTATATCTCGACTTTAGCAAAGCCTTCAACAGAGTCCCCCACGAAAGACTAATTAGAAAGGTAGAAGCACATGGCATCGAAGGTAATATCCTTAAATGGATTAGGGCGTGGTTACAGGACAGGAAACAGCGAGTGAGCATTAACGGCACTAAGTCCCATTGGAGCAACGTCACTAGTGGAGTTCCCCAGGGCTCAGTACTTGGACCATTATTATTTATTAAATACATAAACGACATAGATATCGGCATAGACAGCAACATAAGTAAATTTGCTGATGACACTAAAATAGGACGTGTAATTAAATCTGACGAGGACTCCGGAAAACTACAGGAAGATCTAAACAAATTCTTCGAATGATCTGAAAAATGGCAGATGAAATTCAACATGGACATATGTAAAGTGCTCAGTATAGGAGATGTAAACAGGGAAACCAGATACCAGATGAACAACCATGCCATAGAGAAATCCGACTGCGAGAGAGATTTAGGAGTAATGATAAGTAGGAACCTTATGCCAAGTAAACAATGTGATTTTGCTCGTAACAAGGCTAATAAAGTACTTGGGTTCATACAAAGGAGTGTTAGTTACAAGACTAGCGAGGTCATCCTAAAACTGTATCTTGCTCTTGTGAGACCACACCTGGATTACGCAGTTCAGTTCTGGTCACCGTATTACAGAATGGATATAGAATCCTTGGAAAGAATTCAGAGGAGAATGACAAGACTAATCCCGGGCATTAGGAACCTTGAGTATAGAGACAGGTTAAAGCTTCTTAATTTGCACTCCCTTGAGAGACGTAGAGCGAGGGGCGACCTGATAGAGGTGTATAAATGAAAGTCAGGGCTAAACAAAGGGGACATTACAAAGGTACTCAAACTATCCAACCAGGAGCGAACTTGTAACAATGGTTTTAAATTAGACAAATTAAGATTTAGGCGCAAAATAGGTAAACACTGGTTTGGAAACAGAGTAGTGGATAAATGGAACAAGTTACCAAATATCATCATTAACTCGAATACGCTGAATAGCTTCAAATATACTGTAGGTTGGATGCTTATATGAGCAATAGGGGTTGGGTGTAAACGGGACTGCCCAGTATGGGCCAATAGGCCCGCTGCAGTTTCCTCCATTCTTATGTTCTTAAATCCATTGCTCCGAGTCCTATCCTGCTCGGATATTATAAAAACTTATCTATATCCCCTTTATTGATTCCTTTCACCCACTTAAATACTTCTATCATATCTCCCGGCACTCTTCGTCTTTCTAGGGAATGCAAGTTAAGTTTCTTTAACCTATCCTGATATGGAAGGTTTCTAAGTCCCGGAATCATTTTCGTCATTCTTCGCTGCACCGACTCTAGTGAAGTGATATCCATTCTATAATAAGGGCACCAGAACTGAACCGCATAATCGAGGTGCGACCTGACTAGCGCAAGATATAGTTGCAATAAGACCTCTGCACTCTTATTACTTACACTTCTAGATATAAAACCAAAGTAGAGTACTGTACAATACATTCAAATAAGAAATGCTCGAAAAACTAAATCCCCTAAAACTGCTAGTTAGGTGGTGCCCTTGTTATAGAGTAGCTACAATATTACCATAACACATACCATACTGTACTGTACTTACAGCCATAGTAGTACTGGTCAACTGTTTTGAGCCAGCCAACATCATCATGTGTATGGCAAACCAAATGTACGTTGAGCATTCCCGACTTTGGTGTTGGACATGACTGGAAAAGATATCATCAGTTCAGTATCTATATTAAGAGAAAAAACAGGTACTACTGTATACTGAACAACACTAAAATAAAAATAAAAAATAATATCCTAAAGCGACCATCAATAAATTCATGACAATGAGACATTTTCAATGTTTTGTTTTTATACTGGTGACTGTATATCTACCTATGTCCATCTGTGTGGTTATGTGCATCTGCTTGTACAATGGGTGCACCTCCAACTCAGCCCATAAAATACTAACTCGGACCATCTCGGGTAACCAACCTTTAACTAAAACTTCTACCTTACTATTACACGAAAGCGTAATAGTAATTATGTAGGACAGACAGGAAAAACATTGCAGCTCAGAATCAAACAACATAAATACAATATCAGAACAGCATCTGAAAGCAATGCCCTGTTCGTTCGTGTTAGGAATAATAATCATCCCATTCCTTGGGAAAAAAGCTTAGAAGTGTTCAAATCATCTTGTGTCACAGATTTGATTAAGTTTGATAAAGGAATTAAAATCAATTAACCTCAGTGATGGTCAGTTCAAAACTGATATTATGTTACATAAATTTATTTGTCAGTGGCCCGAGGTTAAAAATGCTTTGAAAACTTTGGATTATGATGTAGGATAGTTATTTAGTGGGTCCCTTATTTTTGACCTGATCTGACTAGTCAGGTCGCCCCCTTTCTCTTAAGCTTGTAGTGGAATTCTCCCCTACAAACGCTGTTTGTCGCTGCCTAGCCGACCCCACCAATTCCCCAGTGTATGCCTCGTGGTCTAGGTCAACCAGCGCCGCCATACACCACGGAGCGGGGGTCAACTGCTATGCCACGCTTACCCCCGCTATTTAAGACCTGACCTCGTGGTGATCTGTCTCTTTTTCTACCTACACCAACCAGCCAGCAACACCTCCGCCTGCCTGGCGGTCCTCGCTCCTCCGCCTGCCTGGCGGTCCTCTCTCCCGCTGGCGAGCATGGCGACCCACAAGCTGTCCTTCTCTGAGCGTCCTCACCAACCAGCTCTCTCTACATCACGCTTGTAACCATGCTGCCTTCCCAGCACCAAGCTGCATTGTACATCCAATACAACATGTATATAGAGAGCACATCGTGAGTTTCCTTTCTCCATTCCATCCTGAGTGTGAACCAAACATCTTGAACCCCACAAATGGTGACCCCCGGAGATTCGCACTCACACAGGATGGAGGAGAAACTGATCACGCTCCCAGTCTTCAAGCAACATGGAAGACTGGCTTATCCACCCAGAAGCAGCTCTCATCGGCTCTACAGCTACTGTCTCTACACCGCAGGTTAGACACCCTAGAGCAGCTCTGCTACTCTAAGCAGACACCAGCTCCTCTTCCTGCTAAGCCTCCTACCGACCCCAGCACACCCGTCCTGCCTCAGACGCCGACCCCGGCCCAGCAGTAACCCCTGCCGCCCCTGATGCGGCCTCTGTTCCTGAGTGCGGACCCACACACCCCTCTTTTCTCCCTCAGGTACTCCCTGCTAATGTCCTGCACCCTGCTGCTGTCGTGGACCCAGCTGCTGTCACGAGCCCTCATCCGCTTCTGCTGACGCAGCCCCTGCTCCTGACCCAGGCCCACACACCCCAGCAGGCGCATCTGACGACTCTGTACCTGCCGTGAGGGAAGCACAACATTCATCGCCTCCACACACCCTTATTCTCCCTCTCTACTCCCACAGATATTGTGTATCTAGACAGTTGTCCCCAGCGACCGGCTCATCCACGCCATCGCCGTTGTCTCACATGAGGCACGCACCGCCCGTTCTGCCTCACATGTGCTATGCAACTCTGCAGACAACAAGTCTCCTACACAGCCTGGAGGGAAGGGGGAGTATTGTAGTGGAATTCTCCCCTACAAACGCTGTTTGTCGCTGCCTAGCCGACCCCACCAATTCCCCAGTGTATGCCTCGTGGTCTCGGTCAACCAGCGCCGCCATACACCACGGAGCGGGGTCTGACCTGACCTGTCTCTACCCACAGCCGCAGCCAGCAACACCTCCTCCTCCTCCGCCGCTGCCTGGCGGCCCTCGTTCCTCCTCCGCCTGCCTGGCGGTCCTCTCTCCCGCTGGCGAGCATGGCGACCCACAAGCTGTCCTTCTCTGAGCATCCTCACCAACCAGCTCTCTCTACATCACGCTTGTAACCAAGCTGCCTTCCCAGCACCAAGCTGCATTGTACATCCAATACAACATGTATATCGAGAGCACATTGTGAGTTTCCTTTCTCCATTCCATCCTGAGGAACTAAACAACTTACACCCGCTGGGTGTTCGAAATACCCGCCGCCTATGTGAGGCAGAACGGGCGGTGCGTGCCTCATGTGAGACAACGGCGATGGCGTGATGAGCCGGTCGCTGGGGACAACTGTCTAGATACACAATATCTGTGGGAGTAGAGAGGGAGAATAAGGGTGTGTGGAGGCGATGAATTTTGTGCTTCCCTCACGGCAGGTACCGAGTCGTCAGATGCGCCTGCTGGGGTGTGTGGGCCTGGGTCAGGAGCAGGGGCTGCGTCAGCAGAAACGGATGAGGGCTCGTGACAGCAGCTGCGTCCACGACAGCAGCAGGGTGCAGGACATTAGCAGGGAGTACCTGGGGGAGAAAAGAGGGGTGTGTGTGTCCGCACTCAGGAACAGAGGCCGCATCAAGGGCGGCAGGGGTTACTGCTGGGCCGGGGTCGGCGCCTGAGGCAGGACGGGTGTGCTGGGGTCGGTAGGACGTGGTGCTTAGGGCAGGAAGAGGAGCTGGTGTCTGCTTAGAGTAGCAGAGCTGCTCTAGGGTGTCTAACCTGCGGTGTAGAGACAGTAGCTGTAGAGCCGATGAGAGCTGCTTCTGGGTGGATAAGCCAGTCTTCCATGTTGCTTGAAGACTGGGAGCGTGATCAGTTTCTCCTCCATCCTGTGTGAGTGGAGTCACTCCGGGGTCACCATATTTGTGGGGTATGAGATTGTTTGGTTCACACTCAGGATGGAATGGAGAAAGGAAACTCACAATGTGCTCTCTATATACATGTTGTATTGGATGTACAATGCAGCTTGGTGCTGGGAAGGCAGCATGGTTACAAGCGTGATGTAGAGAGAGCTGGTTGGTGAGGACGCTCAGAGAAGGACAGCTTGTGGGTCGCCATGCTCGCCAGCGGGAGAGAGGACCGCCAGGCAGGCGGAGGAGCGAGGGCCGCCAGGCAGCGGCAGAGGTGTTGCTGGCTGCGGCTGTAGGTAGAGAAAGAGAGACAGATCACCACGAGGTCAGGTCTTAAATAGCGGGGGTAGGCGTGGCTTAGCAGTTGACCCCCGCTCCGTGGTGTATGGCGGCGCTGGTTGACCTAGACCACGAGGCATACACTGGGGAATTGGTGGGGTCGGCTAGGCAGCGACAAACAGCGTTTGTAGGGGAGAATTCCACTACAATACTCCCCCTTCCCTCCAGGCTGTGTAGGAGACTTGTTGTCTGCAGAGTTGCATAGCACATGTGAGGCAGAACGGGCGGTGCATGCCACATGTGAGACAACGGCGATGGCGTGGATGAGCCGGTCGCTGGGGACAACTGTCTAGATACACAATATCTGTGGGAGTAGAGAGGGAGAATAAGGGTGTGTGGAGGCGATGAATTTTGTGCTTCCCTCACGGCAGGTACCGAGTCGTCAGATGCGCCTGCTGGGGTGTGTGGGCCTGGGTCAGGAGCAGGGGCTGCGTCAGCAGAAACGGATGAGGGCTCGTGACAGCAGCTGGGTCCACGACAGCAGCAGGGTGCAGGACATTAGCAGGGAGTACCTGGGGGAGAAAAGAGGGGGTGTGTTGGTCCGCACTCAGGAACAGAGGCCGCATCAAGGGCGGCAGGGGTTACTGCTGGGCCGGGGTCGGCGTCTGAGGCAGGACGGGTGTGCTGGGGTCGGTAGGACGTGGTGCTTAGGGCAGGAAGAGGAGCTGGTGTCTGCTTAGAGTAGCAGAGCTGCTCTAGGTTGTCTAACCTGCGGTGTAGAAACAGTAGCTGTAGAGCCGATGAGAGCTGCTTCTGGGTGGATAAGCCAGTCTTCCATGTTGCTTGAAGACTGGGAGCGTGATCAGTTTCTCCTCCATCCTGTGTGAGTGCGAATCTCCGGGAGTCACCATTTGTGGGGTATGAGATGTTTGGTTCACACTCAGGATGGAATGGAGAAAGGAAACTCACGATGTGCTCTCTATATACATGTTGTAATGGATGTACAATGCAGCTTGGTGCTGGGAAGGCAGCATGGTTACAAGCGTGATGTAGAGAGAGCTGGTTGGTGAGGACGCTCAGAGAAGGACAGCTTGTGGGTCGCCATGCTCGCCAGCGGAAGAGAGGACCGACAGGCAGGCGGAGGAGGAGCGAAGGCCGCCAGGCAGCGGCGGAGGAGGAGGAGGTGTTGCTGGCTGCGGCTGTAGGTAGCAAGAGAGAGATCACCACGAGGTCAGGTCTTAAATAGCGGGGGGTAGGCGTGGCTTAGCAGTTGACCCCCGCTCCGTGGTGTATGGCGGCGCTGGTTGACCTAGACCACGAGGCATACACTGGGGAATTGGTGGGGTCGGCTAGGCAGCGACAAACAGCGTTTGTAGGGGAGAATTCCACTACAAGCTCCTCTACGTGTGTGTTGGTGTGGGGATTAGTGGATGACATCATTATGACCTGACCTCATGTTTAATAAGGTCACCCTGTATATTTAAGCCTCTCTCTGTCCACTATTTAAGTGGACTCCTTAGGTAACACGATTCACATATTGCCCTCTCATTATTTCTTAATACAACTGTCCAAATCTACTGTGGACTTTATTCTAATGCTATTCATTAAACATGTTACAAATATATACTACTGTATACTGCATAAAGAAGTCAGCAAATAGTTATTTTTGCCAATATATATATATATATATATATATATATATATATATATATATATATATATATATATATCTCTTGATAAAATCACACGGGAAAAGACGAGATATAGATATATATAGATATAGATATATAGATATAGATATATATAGATATAGATATAGATATATAGATATATAGATATATATATAGATATATATATATATATAAATATATATATATATATATATATAAATATATATATATATATATATAGATATATATATATATATATATATATATATATATATATATATATATATATATATATATATATATATATATATATATATATATATATATTAGACTACATCATTACTTCTACCTTTATGAATGCATATGTATCAAAAAGCCATGTTAATGCTGGCCAGTTCACACCAGCAGGAAACAGCAATTTCAACAAATTAATATGAACTCAAAGGCAACGTGTGGAAACTATATAAAACAAAGAGCAGAACTTACCGGGTTTGCAAGAGCAGACGCAGACAAAATGAGGAGGGCCAAACAGACGGCAGCCCACATCCTGTTGTTCTGTATGTGATATGCTCTATCCTTATGAATCTACTCTTTCACCACCTGCTGATCAATGGAGGAGTAAACGTAGTACCAGCAACGTGCTACCTCTCACTGCTCCGCGTGACTGACCACCGCCCACCGCAACTCAAGCTTGGTCTTCAATTGTCACTTAGAACTTTATCCGACTGCTTACTCCTTAGCCAGTTTTCAATGGAAAACTTTAGTAAGTAAAAACCACTTCCATTTACGTTTAGCCACAAATGGTTTTTCTTCATCAGTTTTAAAGCAAGAAGTATGAATTTAATTTAAGTCTGTTCGTGTACAGCTCATTAAAATTAGTATTAAAGTTTGTTGTTGGCAACTGGCATATCTGTGTGCATGGGGGGTGTGTCTGGGGCGGTGCGTGTACTGTTGTCATTTCCTTTCCACCTGCATTAATTCACCCTTATCATATCAATGAGTAAAAAAAAAACAACCGCGATTCAACAAAGTACCAAAAGCATTCTTCTTGTTCGAATGTGCTTCGTCTATATCACCGTATGTTGTACCCAATACCCAGTGACCTTGGTGCAATTTTCCCCAGCTGGAGGTATGGTCATAAATTGTAAAACCCAAGAACAAGTAACGAATCCTGAAAAAAGCGGCCAGCACTTTATATATATATATATATATATATATATATATATATATATATATATATATATATATATATATATATATATATTCCATTTGTTCTAGAGAATCTAGACCTAGGGATCAGGGAATGAAAGAGATTATAATGATTAATTTGGACTCCCAATAATATACTTTTTACGGATCACCTGAAGAATCGTCACCCCAAAGTTTGACTGGGGTGACAATTCTTCATGTGGGACAACCTGGGGTGACGATTCATCAGGTGGCAAAACCTGGGGTGACCATTCTTCAGGTGAGGTTAGGACCCTCCATATTGGTTAGGTAATATGCATCGTATATTTTAGAAAATTTAGTAAAGTATTTTGTATTTAGTAATGTGAATTTTGCAATATTATCTATATTATTCTTATATCTTCTGTTAATTTTGCACTAATGTGTATATTAATCTTGTATTTTCTGTAAACGTTTTTGATTAAGATGCATAACACAAAGGAATTTATATTTTGCATTTTGTTACCCTAATTATACAGTTTATATTCAATATGGGGTGTGGTTAAGATTCTTCAGGTGGACACTCTGGGGTGACGACAGTAATCATGTTTTGGATTACATTTTAAGTGTAAACAATGAAGATTACACTTAAATCAATAAAATGTAATCCTAACCATGACTGCTTTCGTATGTACGTTTGTCTATTTCTACTATATTTAACATGAAAACAACACATCCTGTCTAACTGGTATAACACTAGACTAGTGACTAGATGGACCGTTTGTTATCTGTGTATCAGTGAGTTAATGGACTGATTACAACTGTGTTTACTTGGTAGCGCCTCTGTATCTGCTGCTGAGAACTTGTGGTATTGTGAAGTAGTGCGACTTGACCGACCAACACTAAGTAACATCCTGGAACTAGTACATGTCCAGTACTTGGCAACCGTGCGTCTAACCAATCCGCCAATGCGGCTAACGGGATAAAAGTAAAAGTAAGTCAGAGTAGTTTTGATTGTGAAGGAATTTCATAAACAGATTGATTTTCAATTCTTTAGTAAGTACAGTGGGCATGTAGAATGAGGTGGTGGAGGCCAGGAGGAGGTAAAGTTAAAATGTCTGCCCAAGGTGATGATGCCTCGTCTCACCAGGGTTTTTTTTTTTTGTTTATTGGGCACTCCCCTACATCATTGTGTAAGGTGAAGCACAGAAGCGTTTACAGCGCCCAACAGGGAAGCATGCTAAGTTCATGCTTGCCTTTATGTCTCATGAGTTAAGGGCGTAGAAGCCTGAAGAGTCAAGGGCGTAGAAGCCTGAAGAGTCAAGGGCGTAGAAGCCTGAATAGTCAAGGGCGTAGAAGCCTGAAGAGTCAGTGGTTTATGTCCTCAAGTTATTGGAAGCTCCAATAACTTGTCCCTGAATACGAATTCGCAACTTTCGACTTACACCAGGTACCTACTTTACTGCTAGGTGAACAGGGACTAATGGGGGCTAGGAAGTAAGTCCGAACAACTTCCACCGGCCCGGGAATCGAACCCGGGACATCTCGCTTGCGAGACAAGAACGGTACCGCTTCTACCACCGATCCCCCCTCACCAGGGTAAAGAGTGATATCTAACAAGCACACGTCATCACACCCTCAAGAAACAGGATGTACATGGCATGAAAACATCTGACAACTATTTGTATGGAAATACAGCAGGAATTTTGGTATTATTGCATTTTCGCACCCGACATTCCTACCCCTAATCTATTCATATTCGAATAAGGCGTGTTATTATAAGATAATTTTCTTATATTACATTACCGTCGCAAATGTATAATAACGGAGAGAGCGTATCCAAAATTTTCTCTATTTTCTTCCATTAATCTTGCACTATTATCGCCTACCTCACCTCCCACACTGCGTGTCTCCTTCATAAACCATCACGAGCATGTGTTCCCGACACGTCACGCGGCCAATCAAAGACGTTTTTTTTTACACTAATTAAAATGATTTGTTGTTTAATTCGCGGTATTTTTGGCCCAATCAATTTAGATATTTATTTTGGGTCTCTCATATTTAGAAATTCAAATTCATTTCCGACCATGGAAGTCTGCAATGGGTGTCACTTCAATTATATGGAGCTGATTGTGAGTTTTGGGGAAAAAAAGAAGAAACTATAGCATTTTTTCGATCTCATGGTGTTCTCCCGACCTCAGTAAAGTGTCCTAAGTGCGAGAACGAATGTAAATATAGTCAAGACCAACATATGTGGCATTGTGGTAACTCTGGAGGGGAGAAATCCACTACAATACAACGATGAACGAGAACCAGGCCAATAAGGTAAGAAATATGTGATTCCATCATATGGTGAGAGTCAGGTTAGTTGAGGTCAGGTTTATGTTTTTCTAGTGTTTTTGTTTTGTTTTTGTATTTTGTATTCGCTTAGCCATTATTTTTTTCGCAAAACGTCCCACGAAAAAAATCGAAAAAAAACCCGGCCAATTTCCGACGGAAATGAAGGTCATAATCGGTCTAAAAACACATAAATACACTATAAAAAATTATTTTTGACTTTCTAACAGAGTTGGGTGCGCTTATACAAATTTACCGGAATTTTGGGGAGGGGGTTTGTATATACATAATAGGGCACCTGTTCTAGGGTTGAGAGCGTGGGCGTTTGGTCAGGGTTCAGTGCGTACCAGACACGTGACTGGCCGCCCAAGTGGCTATCAGTGCCTCAGTGGCGAAGATTAAAAAAATAACAGTAATAAAAAGCTGGGGCGAATATTCACGTGAACCATGTTATCTTTTCTGAAAACAGTAATATCCTCTGATTTATTTGAATTTTGCTGACAAAGCGTGTTGAATAGTGTTTATTTTGTCCGTTTTCTTATCCTGTAGTTTTTTATGAAAGCCTCGAGAGTGAGGAAGTTTTCCTCGGGTCAGTTTTGTAAAAGGGATCACATGAAGATTAGTCCTCCCAGTTTATTTCGGCCTAAAGTTCGATGAACAATCCTAACTCTTACCTAACCTAACCCACTCCACCGAGATAGCATTAGCCGCATTAGCGTGTCTGATCAAAGGTTAATAAGCTTAGAGTGTTAATTTTCACCTGCTCTTGTAAAGTTAGTCTAGTGGTATAGAGACAGATGTACTGTATGATGGAAGGTTAGTGATCGTACAGTACTATCAAATGTAGAGGTCAGAGTCCTCTTATCAGGAGTCAGGGTGTCTCATTATCAGATATGGTCGTGGCGCACAAACACAGTTACCTGATATTTAAGGGAGTGTAGGACAAAAGCCCCCTAAGACAAATAATAATAGATTTTTTGAAATAAATATTTTTATTCTTCATTATTTACAGTTTATGAACACTTCTGACATGAATAATATTACATTTATTATATCATAAAACTGCAATACCTAGCCTAACCTATAGTATATGAACACTTTTCTGACATGTAAAGTATTACATGTACATTGTACAGTACTGTATTAAATCTTAAGACTGCAATACCTAACCTAACCTAAGGCTGCAGCCGCACTAGAGGGCAGGTGAAAGTGGGCGAGCGTGGAAGACCTAGCAACATTGTAACCCATAGACGTGGCTGCAGTGGGCACGAGCTGACAAGAGTGTGTGCCCGCTCTTAGTGCGGCCATGGCCTAACCTATTTTGCACTTTAACTCAGATTTTTTTGTCCTACTTTGCACTTTAACGGGGGGGTTGTTCATTGGGCTTCTGTACGGATCCCTATTTCAACACATTGCTGGAACATCACCTGTGACATCAGATGGCTTGAAAATGGTTTCCAGATGACACTGAAAATCTTTTTTTCAATCCAGTCTTCGGCGACCTTGAAGGGCACTTGTATCATTGTGTGGGAGACGAAAAACCGATGACGATGAAGAACTAGAACACTGATTGGGTAATATGAGGATAGTGGCTGAAGCAATCCAATGTGTGAACACCTTCCTCCCAGAGCCATAGATAGAGTTCGGCCAACCGGGCGACATGTTGTTACTCAGCAGGAAGGGGGAGGCGGGGGTGGGGGGGCTCTTGGGGTGTCTCTTCTCTCACATATTTATAAACATGTTTATCCAATTTTAAACATGTATGGCAATTTTACCAAATAAATGTCATCATCATCATCTATTATACTATAGGACTAGGCGTCTGTCTGTCTGTCTGTTCTGGGCAGCCGAAATGGCACAATCGTTTTTCATCAAACTTGGTGGAAAAAAAAAAATTCTAGAGTGGAACAAACCTGATCCCATGCCGATGGTTTCTTTAGGAAGCCATTAATTAACCATTTTATTTACGATGGAAAATGATGCAAGTCTACGGACTTGGCACACCCTAATTAACCATGCAAGTCTATGGACTTGGAGCACCCTCATTCGCTGTACGCTAGCCAAGCACGAGCGTTCAAACTTTCACTGGGCACGAAGGTGCCCGCAATCACTTGTCATCCTTTATAGTATGAGCTCAAACATCTTCATCAGATGAGTAACAACATGGCGCCCTGATGTCACCAAGTTGACCGAACTCTATCTACTGTTCAGCAGAGCCGCAGATAGTGTGACACACCCCTTTTGCCGCTTCCCAGCTTCCACTGCTGGTTACCAGCGGTCCGGCTCCTATATACAGAAGCAGTAGATATATCACAAGTATCGTCGAATTACCACTGGCTGTTCTGCCAGTCTCTGGTAATTCCTGGCGGCTGGTATCAATGTACAGACAAAACAGGCAGGCAGGTAGATTTCCACCAGGTCACAGAAACACTTGTGTCTTTACCATTGAACTTCTCACTTCGAATATACTGTATACAGTCAGCACACTATCAGTGTACTTGTCTTTTTACTTTATATCGCTCACAACAATTCCACAATGCTTGAATGCCAATTATCTTTAGCTGTCACTAGGCTTGTACTTCACACTCTAAGCAGAAACAGGCGACTCCTCCCCAGATGCCTCACTGGTGCTATTTATACTGTAGCGTAGTGTATGTGGCCAGTTGTCAAATTTGTCTTTGTGTTTGTCTATTTTCTCTTTGTTAGGCTCACATACATACGTACACATAGGAGATCTCGCACTAAGGATGGAGGTGAGAAGGAAACTCACAATGGCGTTCTCTCTCTCTCTCTCTCTCTCTCTCTCTCTCTCTCTCTCTCTATATATATATATATATATATATATATATATATATATGCACACACACACAGTGGCCTCGGTTAACGAGCACAATCCGTTCCAGCAGGTTGCTCAACCAAAAAACGATTAACCAAACCATTGTTTCAATGGGTTTTGGGTATGGTTCCAGCTCACCGAAATTGCCTAAATTCAACAAAAAAGGTAGAAAAGTACACTTACTTTGAGGTGTGTGTAAAAGGCTCCTGGATGATGATGATGATGAATTAAATGGGGTGGAGGAGAAGGAGAAGAGGCATTGGGGTGGAAGAGAAGTCACCTCATGCCGCCATTTCACCCATAAAATTTTAGCTCTCTTGGTGTAATTCAAGATTATTTTCTTTAAATCAACACTGCACTGCATTATATATTGTCAATATGTAAAATATATTTCAAAATGACCAATAATTTGCTTGGAAACACAGAAAAAAGCGTTTAGTTGAAGAGAGTCTCAAGCAAGATGTTACCTCCAATGAAAACAGAGAGAGACTAACGCCTGTTTGCTGTGTTAAGAGGCTGGATGGCACGCCAGAAACTAGTTTCTGTACCTTCAATTATGTTCAATAATTGTTAAAATGACTAAAAAAGTTAATATTAAACTTTTAAAATTATTGAATAGTATAAACTTCTTGATATTTACTAAAATAGTAAGGAATTTAAGCCCTAGAACCGATTAATGTATTGGCGGACTAATATTACAGCTGGTGGACCGCCAAATGCAAGCGAAAACACGTTGAAGTCGACTCGTATAAAAACTCGTTAATCGAGGGATTGCTCGTTAACCGAAGTTAAGAATCTTATGGAAGGTAAATCATTAACCG